AGCAGACTGCAGCAGTGTGGATCCAGGGGTTCAGGAACCCCAGGCACCCACAGCAACACGGGACTAGGAGCTGTAGAATCCCAGTCACTCACGGAGCCAGAGAAACCCAACAGCTCACAGCAGTGCAGTCCAGGGCCAGAGAACCCTGGCTCACTGAAAACCAGCTTGGGGCCAGTGGCAGCAGAGTGGACAGCCCAGCTGGAGAAAGAGCAGAGGGGGCCAGAGGCAGGTGGCCCAATGGCTCAGGCCCTTGGCAGGGGCACTTCCCCTGAGCCAGCAAATTCTGTCATTCAGGTCCTGTCAGTGTTGGACCAGGGAGATTCAACCTGTACACATAAAGGGAGCTCTTATTGGATGGTTATCTTGATTCTTAGGAGAGATAAGAAATAGATTCAGCATGGCAGAGGTAGCAAAGAAGGTACTGATGGGATTGTTATTTACCACAATAGTGTTTTTCTGAATGTATGTTTACATTTCAGCACAACAAACATACAAGCCAAATGATATTTCTGCAACTGAACATATTGGTGACAGTCCCATTGCGTTCCCCCCCAGGCAGTGAGAAATATGTTTAGAAGAAAAGAAAGGGGAAACACACAGTCTCCTAGGGGAGGAAATGCCGAGAAATGTTTTATTTAATTCCTTCTCAAACTGAAGGCCCTAAATGGATGTACTCATGGGGTTTTACCTTCTGATCCACATAAACACTGCCCCAGGAGCTGGTTAAGATCCAGTCATTCAAAACTGGATACAAATGGGATTGAATTTAACTTATTGTTAGTATGAACTAGGCAGCTAACTAGGGCATTTGGTAAATAGAACCAGGTCTAACTTCACACAAGTACTGCACAGATGTTTGTATCCAAGTCATATTGCCAGGGTGAAAAAAAGTCCCAGCAGAGCATGGGATAAGTATCACTCCACATTGGTTTGAACAAAACCCTCAGGCAACTGGCATCATGCACAACACTCACATTAATGTCTGAAAGTCGCCTGCTGTTTTCATTACTTTATTAACCAGAAAGAATGTTTCTCTTGTGTTCTTAAAGCCACAGCTGCTGATCATTAAGTAAAGCAAGGCTTTTCTTTGAATGATGTTGTTTACTCATGAAGCTGTCTCTTTCATCACTGTTCCTGGAACATAAATTGAAGCATGCCGTGAAATGGATGTGACAATCTGCTGAGGCATTCAAGTCTCTTTGCATTAGTAAAGCATTAGTAAAGCATTTCCTAAAGATAAGCATAATTTACAGGTTGAGTTGAGATCACATGTTCTTGATACTAAAAATACATGCCATTCCACTGATATTTTGTTTCAAGAAGCAACACTAACTGATAACAGCAAGTTCCCATGTATATAGTATCAAAATGGGTGCTCCATACCTCCTGGGATAGCTGATAGATTAGCAGCTTTGGCACACAGTGAAATCAATAGAGAATCCCCTATTGGCTTGAATGAAGCAGAATCAGGCTCTAAGGGTGTGTCTAAACTACATGGCTTCATGGATGGAGCCATGTAGATTAGGCTGATCGGCAAAGGGAAATGAAGCCGTGATTTAAATAATCGTGGCAGCCATTTAAATTTAAATGAAGCCGCGATTATTTAAATCGCGGCTTCATTTCCCTTTGCCGAACAAACAAACCTACATGGCTCCGTCGACAGAGCCATGTAGTTTAGACATACCCTAAGAGATGCCGTGCCCCTAAAGAAGAATTCCTTTCATGTCTATCTTAGCTGTGATGGAATGGCTGTTGAATTGGACTTTGAATGTCTCAGTGGTCATTGAGGAAGTCATAAGGGGAAATGCTTTAAAACTAAACCTAATGAAACATGAATTTTCTTTGAATGAGGTTATTCACAAAGCTGCTTTAACAAAACCTGTTTCCACTCACTATTGGATGCTGTATTACAGGCAGCCCCTTTGCACTGCCATACAAAAAATATTTGCAGGTTTCAGCTTTGCTCTGTGCAAGTATTGTACAGACCCCTGTATGGCTCCTGGAAACCAGACCTGCCTTATTACACTAGCAATGCATCAATTCGTTTGACAGGGGAACTTGTGGCAGCAGCAGCTGGATTTAGGCCTGAAAATATTATTACACTGATTAAGCTACGTGTGCGCTAGAGTTTCACATGTATATATTTAAGAAGTTGGAGCATCTTTAAAATGTACAGTACTATGATTTTTAATGAGTGCATCATGTGAAAGCAGTGTACATTTACAACAATCTCTTCATACATTAGTAGTAATGACACAATTGTACCCAGCTTATCATACCAGCTCTGTTACACTTTCAACTAACCAGAAAATGTATATATGAATGCTGCACTGTAACTTTAACTGAGCATTTGCTATTAGTATGTCTTAGTCACTAAACATACAAAAAAGTGTGAGGAGGTCTTGTAAATACTCAATATGTTTTCAATAGGTCTTGTAAAGACTCAGTGTTTTCAAAATTGTCAGCTTTTGAAGTGTAACAATTTTTTTCATTAGGGCAATTAAAAAAATTGTATCTCTACTACTATTCAGAACACAAACTATCATCTTCACCATTCCTCAGAAAAAAAGTAGCAAAGATTGATATTTGTCTAATGAGAATTGACACTGATTTATATAGCCTCATTTTAGAAACAGAAGCTGATCTGTACATTTACATTGGACTATTTTATATTGTTATAGAGTAAGTTTAATCCCCATATAAATCAAGCAGACAAGACTATGTTGTACAGTACCTAGCACAATGCGGTCCTGATCCCTGACTAAGGCTCCTAAGTGCTATACTGTAGTGGAGAAGACCACAGACTTGCCATTTCAAAAGCTTGTATTCCAGAAATAGTTTCACTAACTATATTTTAAGCCTGTCACAATTTTCCTTCTGGGAACAGGAGAGAAGTGAAGTGGGAAAAATGAAACCTTTCCCTGAACTGTTTTAGCCTGTGAATAATGATGAATCTCAAAAGAACCAAATTTGTCTTTTTATTCTCATTGTCCAAGTTAAGATTGAGAGGACTTTTCAGGCAAGGTACTGAATAGTATGTTAACGTTTTTTGGGTTTTTTTTAAAGTAGTATTAAGCTAATATGTGACTGGTAATTGGTATGTGGATGGAAGTAGATGGCTGCATCTAGATTGGCATGATTTTCCGGAAATGCGTTTAACAGAGCATCTAGATTGGCATGGACGCTTTTCCGCAAAAGCACTTTTTGCGGAAAAGCGTCCGTGCCAATCTAGACCCGCTTTTCCGCAAAAAAGCCCCGATTGCCATTTTTGCAATCGGGGCTTTTTTGCAGAAAACAAATCTGAGCTGTCTACACTGGCCCTTTTGCGCAAAAGCTTTGTGCAAAAGAGACTTTTGCCTGAACGGGAACAGAATAGTATTTCCACAAGAAGCACTGATTTCTTAAAGTAGGAAGTCAGTGCTTTTGCGGAAATTCAAGCGGCCAGTGTAGACAGGTGGCAAGTTTTTCCGGAAAAGCGTCTGATTTTCCGGAAAAACTGGCCAGTCTAGACACAGCCGATATGTTTTTCTTTTAAAGTATTAACTGTGGAGTGAGGGTTTATAGTAAAATAAAATCTGATCCTTAAACAGCTACTAGGGGAAACATAGTCTGAGCATTTTTGAGAAGATGGAGAAATACATCATAAATATATGCATTGCACATAAAACTCACCATCTATTCTGGTACAAATAGGAATTGAGAACTTTATATTATAGAATAGATTTCTGCACTGAAAAAGCCAGTTCCTACAGAAGGTGGCTCCAAACACACATTCATATTCCTACACACTATGATTCCATTTTTATCTTTACTAAAGCCAGTGCGAGAGCTCTTTGCTACCTTCAGAGAAAGCAGAGGGATTTCAGGAGACTTTAATCGGTGTATTTAGGTCCCATATAAACTAAGCTGTGTTACTAATGCTTTCCCTTATTCCTTTTCCTTCAGAGATCTGTCTTTCAAAGGTGGTTCAAGTTGTAGAATTATAGCCTAAACTACAATATCTACAGCTAAGTAGCAATTTCTTTTAAAAATGTGTTTAGAAAGGTCAGATTAACTTTTATCCAGCAGGTTAGTGTTCCATGCAAAATAATTTTAACAATCATTCACGTAGAAAGAAGGAGATGGTAGCCTCTGAGGCTACATCTACATTGCATCTTCACAGCAAGTGCATTTTTTCAAAATAAAATGGGCTCACTATTCTGATGTCCTTTATTCCTTGTGGAATGAGGTTTACAGGGACATGTTGGAATAGCAGATTGTTTTGAAATCTGGCACTGTGTAGACAGCACCCAAGTATGAAATAAGCTATTTCAAAATAAGATGTGAAATTTGTGAAGCTCAAATTGTGTATCTTATTTTGAGCTACGGTGTAGTGTAGACACACCTTGAGTGTTTACACTGTGCACTGTATTATTTCTGCTGATTTTGGATTGAAATATGAGATCTGATTCTGACTAATAAGGCACCTCAAACCAGAGGACTGGGGGGAATATCAGGTTGCTATGAAAGCACAGGGTCTATTCATTGTGTTTTATTTATTTATACTGAAGTGAGGAAATGAGGCTGAGCTACCAGGTAAGTACTGCAGATATAAAACTAGCAGGCTTAGGATTAATTAAGCAAGGCACCTAGTAAAATATCTTCCTTTGGCTTTATAGAGCTCCAGTCATATATATATGACAAAGTAGCTAGTTTTCACCAAAATCTTCTAAAAAGTGGGCTTTTGCTTCTGCTCCATAACATACACTCCCCAGGAATCTAGAACACCCTCCTGAAGGAAAAAGAATGAAGGTGATGGGTAAGAATATGCCAAAGCACACCTAGTGAAGTGCACAGGGTGGATTAAGTCCCATATGAATGCTCTGTCAGTGACTGCAGGATAAACAGAAAGGAATATGACTTTGCCTGTGCTTTTGATTTCATGAGTACATGGGCTCTAAAGCTGGCTCTGCAGCTGGTTCACAGAGAGGCACCCGAGTATTGGGATGTACATTCCCCCTTTGAAAATGGCAAGGAGCACAGGGGCTCTAGGAAGATGCCCTGCATTCCACCAGCTTGCGAAAGCTCTTCCGGAAATTCTCATCCAGGAAGGCATACAGGAAAGGGTTGAGGCAGCTGTTGGCATAGCTGAGGCTGGTGATGAAGTAGGAGATGCCAATGACCAGCGGGCTCTGTGGGAGGTCCGTAGTGAGGGCCACCACTGTGCTCAGATGGTAAGGGGTCCAGCAAAAGAGGCACACGGCCAGGATGACCAGCACCATCAGGGTCACTTTCTTTTTGGCTTTGTCCAGGGCTTTGGCGTGGCTATGGAGGTGCACGCCACGCAACTTGGCCAGCAGGGCAGTGTAGAGGATGCAGATGGTGGAGACGGGGATGGCAAAGCCCAGCAGGAGGGTGTAGACGCGGCTGACTTTCCACCAGAAGCTCTCTGGGCTGGGGAAGACAAAGACGCACTGGGAGCGGCCCTGCTCATGGTGGAGCTTGGCGAAGACAGCAAAGGGCGAGATGACAAGGGAGACCAAAGCCCAGATGCCCAGGCTGGCCAGCTTGGCAGCACGGTAGGTGCGGTAGGACACCTTGCTTGACTTGAGTGTGGCCACCACCACCAGGTAGCGGTCAATGCTCATGACAGTGAGGAAGTAGATGCTGGAGAAGATGTTGTACTGGTCGATGGAGATGATGAGCTTGCACATCAGCTCGCCAAAGGGCCACTGCCGCAGCAGGTGGTCGGCGATGTTGATGGGCAGTACCAGGGTGAAGAGCTCATCGGCCACGGCCAGGTTGAGGATGAAGAGGTTGGTGACCGTCTTCATCTTGGGGGCCCGCAGGATGACGTAGATGACAGCCGTGTTGCCCGTCAGCCCCACAGCAGAGATGAGGGAGTAGATGATGGGCACAGCCAGGTAGAAGTCTGGGAGCGGCTGCGGGGAAGAGGCATTGGTCCAGGGGGTGCCTCTGTCTGCACAGGGTGCACAGGATGCGTTGGGCTCAGGGTGTGAGGAAAAGTTATCCATGGGCTGCGGTGGGGAAGGGAAACCAGTCACGGGTCCCCAGTGGTCTGAAGCTGATCCAGTGCAGGAGTGCCCCTGGCCCCTAGCCTACAGGCTGAACCTGGAAGTGGCGGGCAAGGCGCTGTGCTTCTTCGGCTTGGCGTGGGCGCGCCTGGCCCCTCACTAGACCTGGCCCGCTCGGCTGTCACGTCAGCTGTGCGCCCATCACGCCTCACGGCAGCGCCTTGCAGGGACAAGGAAACATACACACTTCACCTCGGGCTTCCTCACCCAGGAACCGTCCCTGGTCAGAAAGCAGGGACCTCGCGCCACCGCAGCCCCACCACCTCTCCCGGGCCCCCGGTGGGGTGGGCACCGAGCCCGCCACACACGCGAGCCTGGGCGAACCGCGTTCTAAGCTCGTTCTGAAGCACGTTTACACGGAGACTAGAGTTGCGGCGCGCGGAAGCGAAAAGAGATCCCGCCGGATTCCCGCCCCTTCTCTCACGCTCCTTCTCCCCATCTACCTCCCGCACGCCCCTCACCCAGGCTCGGCTTCTGCCTCTGCTCCGCTCTGAATTCCGCCCTCTCCCTTACCTGGGAGCCTGGGTCTGCGGTCCTGCCCTTATTGCGGGTCCAGGCTGCAGCGTCGCCGACGTGCTGAAATGCTGGACAGCGCCCCGCTCACAGACTCGCCTCTCCACACGCTGGCCGGCTCCTTTCGGTTCCCCAGCTCGCCCCCTCCCCGCGGGCAGGGAGCGCGGGCTCAGCCCAAGGCCAGCCCGGCTTGCTGGTCAGCGGTCAAACTGAGCACGGCGGCACGGAGGCAAAGAGGGTCCCTTCCCATGGCATGTTGTGCTTGCTGCAAGTAACCGCGCTCGGAGCAGGAACCAAGCCCCCGGTAAGCTTTTTGTATGGGGAGTCGGCGGGGAAGCACGCGCCGTTGTTTGCTCTCAGTCCCCTGCCGCCCGAGTTCAAAATCCTCCTCGCTCCCGGTCTTCTCCAGCCTGGATCCGCGCCAAGCGCACGCTCGGAAAAGTTACCCGGCGCGTTACATTCCGCAGGCAGCGGACTCCGCACAGTGAGTCCTAGTGGCTGACACGGAACCTGTACATATACAGTGAGCAGCCTGGGCGCGCCACTGCCTTCGCCTGGCCTTGCCTGCTTCCTTCGGGAAGAGAAGAGTCTGGCTCAGACGCGTTCGCCGCCTCCTAGCACCATGGGGACCCATTCTCAGATGGGACCCAGAGAGGCTCCTGTAGTACATGACAAGAGACTGACTGACCCAAAGGAAAATCCCACAGCTGAAGTTTGAAATGGGTGAAATCTGATCTGAGATACAAGTAGCTTTTGTGGTTTTAATAAGCCTGGGATCCTCTCTCTGACCTTCAGTTTCAGGTAGCCAAAATCAGGATCCAGTCATTCCTTCACTAATAAAAAACAAATCAAAACATCCTCCTTTTGCTCTGTCTTGGGTTCTTAAGATACAAGGGAGGCTTCATAGGCTCAGACTGAGAATCGGTGGAGTATTTTTAATACTTCCTGTTAAAAAACACAAAGGTGTAATAACCTTAACATTCCCAATTAGGTGTATAACCCAAATTGTTAAACAGAGCTACAATAAGGGCAGGTCTACACTACAGGGAAGATTGATGCTACTGCATTTGATCTTCTGGGTTTCAATTTAGCAGGTGTAGTATAGACCCACTAGATCAAACTCAAAGGGCACCCTCATTGGCACTGGTACAAGGAGTGAGGGAAGCCAACAGGAGCATTTGTTCCCATTGACCTCCCACTATGTGGATGGTGATTTAAGGTACGGTGACTCCAGCTATGCAGTTAACAGTAGCTGAAGTTGCATATCTTAGGTTAACCTTCTGCTCCAGTGCAGACACAAAGTGGATTTGCGTATTGAGAAAATACACATATGTCACTTCTCATGGGGCCACTGGCCCTTCAGGCAAATTAGGGTCTAACTGGCCTATGATAACTCTATAGTCTACACTTGAGAGCAGTAGGATACTCCAGCTTGTGAACTTTAACTAATTAGTAATGGAACAGCAGAGCTAGAAAGAGGCTGATTGAACAGTATAAAGACAATTACTTAGGTAGAAAGGGAAAGGGGAAACCAGGACCCTTGAGAGGAGTTTTTCAGCTGTGGCAGGCTGATGGGGAATAGATGGGGGAAAGAATCCCTGATTGAGGGCCTGGAGTAGAGAGTGCTTGTGCTAAGAGAACTGTCAGGATCCCTGGGGGAAAGAGACAGTGGCAGAATTCTTGTCATCAGGCTCTGGGATGAGAGCTGGAGTGGGTATCCTGACCACAGAGACCCAGAGTCCTGAAATCAGGGTTTCAGGAAAAGTAGAGAAAAGGAGGTAGGTCTGGAAGAAGCAATCTGTAGGTATCAGAGTAGGCTTCTATGGGGAAGCCCTGAGTTGGGGCCTACACAAATAGAAGAAATCCACAGGGAACAAGTGAGGCTTCCATGGAAGAAATTCTGTGAGGGGGCTTGTGAGTGGAAGCAAGGGAAACTGCAGTGGTAAACTGCTGGATT